CCTACACTGGCACATGCAAGGGAGCAGGTATTAATCCCTGTGTCCAGCGTCCCCCTCCCCAAGTTGGGAATGCTACCGTACCAGCTTATTCAGCTGCCATGCTGAGAGGGTGCCTGATGCGTCTCACTGCCTGTCTGATTTAGGAGAGATGGTGATTGGCTCTGAAGTGAGCACTGTCGGCTCTGGAGGATGTTAGCATGAGGGCCGTGAAGGGCAGGGGATATCTGGTGCTGTGGACCCCGTCCCACAGAAGAGCATCGGAAAATATGGACCTACTGGCTTATTTTTACCAGCTTCTTGTTCTGAACAGGGCCTTTTTTAATGTCTTCAGCCCCCTAAATTAGTCACTTTCTCCTTATGCATTTATTCAGCCTTTCCCCAAGAGTGACAGTCCAATGCAAAACCCACAAATAGCATGAAGAGCTGCTCTCGTTAATGAAACTAAAGTAACAACTGGTGTTCTTTTCCTGACAGGCGGCCTCCGGAGCCTTGACAGGTAGTGTTGTACCAGCGCTTGGGGCTGCTCATCACTTGTAAAAGCATCATTTACTATGAAGGGAAGCTGAACATGTAGGACCTAATTTTCAGTCCCAGTGGAAGAGCAGAACTCCGCTGCTGAAGTACCACAGGGACTACACATAGGCACCCTAACAGAATGACAGCACACTAAAAAGGAAGCACGGGGAATGGAGTGTAGTCCACTGCGTAGGGCAATAGGCTGGGAATCCAGTGACCTCACTTCTATTCCCAGCTCTGCTATCAAGCTACTGGGTAACCTTGGGCATGTCACTTGAACTCTGTCACCTCCCATCCACACTCCCTTTGTCTTGTCTATTCAGACTATAAACACCTCAGGGCAGGGACTGTCTCTTATTACGTGTTTGTACAGCACCTAGCACAGCAGAGCCTCAATTTCAGTGGAAACTACTGAAACTGAAGAAAACCCAGGTAGCAGCTCTGCATTCTTAGGTAAAGTGTCCTGTAAAAAAACATTTTTCATTCAGAAAAATCAAAAGTTTGAAACCGCCAAGTTTTATTTTATTTCTCCCTCTATTCCATTGTTAGCTACAGCAAATATTACTAATACTTAAAAAAAAAAAAAAATTAAAACCACGAGTTTGTAATAGGAGAACTAGTACCATAGTCCATGTTAAGATGTTTGTAACAACGGCCTGTTATATCGTTTGGCGCTCCTTGTGGTGGAGTACATTGGGGATATGTGAAACAGACAGCTGACTCTGTTCTGATTAAACTCTACAAATGTCACCATCACAATTCTACCATGGCAAAGCACAAATCAAACCAAGGGGCTACATGTGTATGTGCAGTGCTTTTTTTGTAACAAACAAACAAACCGGTGCCGGTACTCCAAGGGAAAAGTTATTGAGAAAAAAAAAATAGGGTCGGGGGGGAGCTATTGAGGGGGAAAAAGGTCACTTGTCCCTTTAAGGGTGGCCATTTTGAACTCTGTTGTTCTCCACGGCATACCGGTGTGCCACAGAACACGGTTTAAGAAACACTGAACTAGAACTAGCTCAGACAGGTTGGGCTGACCTCTAGCCTATGTCTACACAGCAGCCTTATTTCAGAATAACTGATGTTATTCCAAAATAACAGTCTGCTTTCTACACAGCAAACAGTTACTTCAACATAATATTGAAGTAGTGTCAAGCTGGAGGACTTCTTACTCCAACTCCTGTTAACCCTCATTTTACGATGAGTAAGAGAAGTCGGAGGACTTCCTGCTGTGTAGACAGCCCCAAAAGCTGAAATAAGCTATTTTGACTTAAGCTACTGCTTTAGCCCTGCTATGTAGACGTTCCCCTAGTGACCTAACTCAGGTACTATAACAACAAGATCTATAGTTACAACCACCCAATACATAATATTGCCCTTATCATATCTGCATGGGAAGGGCCCCTGCACAATTGCAAGGATAGGACCTGCTGTTTGCAAGTAATTAACAGCACAGCGGCATTAACATCTGGAACAGCTAATTTGTTCATCCCACCCATTAAGCCAAAGGTAACACTGTGAGGATATTAAGAATGTCCACACTCTTTTTATAGCACAATGGGAGAGCAGAGCACTAAGAGACATCAACGACCACCTCCCCACACTAACGCTTTTAAGATCTAAATGAAAAACAAACATACAAGGGCAGGGAAGAAGGATGCAACATGATACCATGCAGTTCTAACTGTTGAAGTCTGCGCACATCTCACGAGTTCCACTAGCGTTTCAGATGGGGGGAGGTCGTACAGAATTATAATGTATTTTGTAAATTGTGCAGACAAAGGTGTATACGGGATCAGCTAGTGGTTGGAGGCTAAAACGAGCACCCCTCTGTGGGTAAACCACCTACCAGAGGTGTACAAATGGTACTGCAAGTAAGAGGAATACTTAACAAAATAAAATTTAGTTGTAAACGGCTGAATCCACTGCATCGCAGTTATGAGGGATAATAAACACCCTTTCACCCCATGCCACCTTTCTCCAAGCAAGACCATGGTCTCAAACTGCAAGTTGTGTGTCACGTGTTCCCAGAGCAAGACTGGAAAAACAGAGTAACCATCCAGTACGGGGCTGTGATCTGGTTATTTTAATACACGGAACAATAACTCCCTCTCGGGCCCTTTGCAATGGGACACATTGCTTAGAAACTGTTCTCTATTTTTGACCTTTTTTTGGGGTGGGAGGGGGGAGAGGAGGAGTAAAAGCATCAGAAGTGAATAGGTGCCGGCCTATTCCAAACACATAATTGAACAGCACACTGAGGGTTTCAGTGCCTGCTTTCCTGGAAGGCTTACTTAGGGCATGTCTACACTTACCATTTAAAGTGCAAAGAGTCCTTTTGCGTCAAAATTGTGGGTGCGTCTATACTTGCCAATGACTTTTTACAGTGAAACTCAGAAGTTTTACCACAAAAAAATAATAAAATAAAAATCATCTCCATGAGAGGCGTACAGCTCTTAAGCTATATATACACAGCTTCCCTCTTTTGCAAAAGCCTATGCAAATAAAGCATGGATTAGCATATTGTCGCACTTCATTTGCATAATTAATTAGGAGCTGTTTTTACACAAGAGCCATTCTTCCCGAAAAAATGAGGAAGAATGGCTCTTATGTAAGAGGGGGCTTTTGCGCAAAAACAGCTCCTAATTAATTATGCAAAAGAAGTGATGCAATATGCTAATCCATGCTTCACTTGCACAGGCTTTTTCAGAAGAGGGAAGCTGTGGAGAGGTAGCCCCACTGATGATGCTTTTGCAGAGACATGCAAATGAAAGAATGTTCTTTCTGTTTACATAGCTTTTAGCCTACGGGAGCATATCCCATTGTACCTAGGCGATCCCTCTGGCCAGCAGCTATGTACCCTGTAAAGCCCTGGAAACTTTGAAACTCCCCTTGATGTTTTCTTGGCGAGTTTTCTTCACAGCCCCGTACTTATCTGGCCACATGACAATGGCTACTCCACAGAGCAAATGATCCCCTGCATGGAGCAATGCTGAGCTACTGGAGCTGATCGGTGTTTGGGGAGAAGGGGCTGTGCAGGGACCCAGGATGCCCCAGGATTAGAGTCCTCCCCCCACCTCCCATTTCCCTCAATACCTATCAAAATGGAGAGAGCTGCCCTGTGGGATAGCTGTCTTCGTGGCGCTGATCTCGGTAGTGATGGAAATGCTGCAAATGTAAACACTCTGACACCTGTGGAATTGAATACACAACCAGCGCTTTTCTTTTACCAGTTGCTTATCACCAGTGAAACTGACAGTGCAAAAACTCTGCAAGTGTAGACATAGCCTTACCGTCTCAGCAGAGGAACTGGTCAGCCAATCCACTGATGCTGCCGTTGTCTCATTAAATAGTGAACTGTTATCTGCAAGAAAAGAGACATAAAATGAAGCATTGTGACTGTGGTGTTTATACTGCTAAGAATGGAAACAAATTTAAGATCTTAAAAACCTCTCTCTCTACCTTATCAAAGTAGTAGCTAAATAATATTTGTTGTCTTCCCAGTGCTGGTGAGCACAGCCCAAAGGAATGCTTACATATGACCCACGAGTTCAGACGGCTTGCCTTTCAGCAACAGTTATCTTGAGGGGACTAACTCAAGCTTACTTCACTGGAGTTGCCTAGCTCAAGGGAGAGCAGCCAGATGGCACAAGGACACAGGAGCGACACCGAATGATTTCATCAGCTTCCCAGAGTAACTGGATGAACAGCTGATGAGTTGTTGTAACTCTACCTGCTGCATCCCCACAGCATTGGAAGTTTGAGCATCAGACGCACTCCAACTTTAGCACCTACCCTATGCCCTGATAGCCCGACATAAAGCACTCCCAAATCTGAGAGACAGATTTCTATGTGGGGACCGTCATCAAGTTAGGGACAAAATACCAGTATTAGAGCAAGCTATAACCTAAGTTAAGACATGTGCTCCCCCTTCCCCCCCCCAAAAAAAATACAACAATGTATGAAAGGTCAGTACGACTTTATAATTAAACCTGTACAACTGCTTTTGGCATTCACAGTAAAAAACAAAGTGAAACAATGCAATGGATTACTTCGCTATTCACGTGACAAGACTATGGAATTTCACTGGTATTTCACTATAAACTCAGAATTCATAAATACTCGCTTGTTCTAAATTTAAGCCTCTTGGCTAAATGATATGATACAACTTTTACAAGTCTCAAAAATAAGTAAAGAAACAGTCAATGATACTAGACAGGAGCTCAGGAAAGAAACATAAAACTCCCACAGAGTCACATACTTAGGGCAGGTCTACACTTACCCGCAAATCGATCCCCTGGGGGTCGATTTAGCGGGTCTTTACCATTAAAGACCCACTAAATTAATTGCTCTCTTATTGACTCTGCTATTCCATTAGAACAAGAAGCATGAGGGAAGTCAATGGGAGAGTTTCCTTACATTGACCTCCCTCTGAAGACCCTGCAGCAATTCAACCTAAGGTACGACAAGCCCAGCTATGCTATTCACGTAGTTGGAGTTGCGTACCTTAGGTAGACATTGCCCAGTAGCATAGACCTGCCCTAGGGCAGAGTGTGAACTTTACCATTGTAGCATTACAAGTCTAATTTAACTTTATAAACCAATCGATAAGGAGCTGCTCCCGAAAATTATGCTTTCCTAGCATGTTTCTGTATGTTCCAAACCCCAAAGAAATACTTTTAACAATAAGAATGTTTCCTATATCATAGTGTGAATTGTACTGCATTAAAGAAACTGATCTGATAGGATTTTCTTTTATAGCACTTGGATAGCATGGCGGGCAGCCTAACTAAAGGGATATATTTAAATTTAGAATAGATTTCCAGTATCATGACAAGTGAGTTGTTCCCCTTCTCCTTGAGGAGTTACGTATTCCTGCTCTAAAATTTTGTATTCCAGATTTTGCACCAGGATTTCCATCAGGGTTGTATTTCATCCCCGTTGATAGGGATCTGGCATGGACACACGTTTGTATCTCACATTCAAACCTATCTGATTGAAGGGATGAAATGTAAGATGTTGGGAGGATTTGGGCATGAAACATTCGCTTTCTTCAACAGCAGCACTACAGAGCATGCAGTAAATGCTTCTTTTGGCATGGTTTCAAGCACTACAGTTCCTTTTCCAGCATCTCCACTCACGTCAAAATCCTATGTGCAGACTTGACACACCAGGTGAGAAAGGTCTTTTGCACAGAAGAGCTTGTTCCCCCGGAGCAGAAAGACACAAGAAGGTAGAGTCCAACAATTATAATCTTCTCAGCCTGAACTCTGCTCTAGCTCTCTGCAACCTTCCTCTTTCGTAGCATATGTGCTGTGTATTTGCTGAAGGACTTTTTTTTTTACCTGCCCGGATGTTTTGCTCATCACTGTGGTATTTGCAAGCCTTATAAAAATCGAAAAGCAGTATGCTGCATTCCCTCGACTTCCTTTCAGCCCTGAAAACAAGGTTTGTCTTTGTTCTATCACCTGCAGCGATTCTTGTCCAGCTTTTCTTTTGTCCCCATTTCTTTCCCTGAGGTGGTAATTATAGGGGAAAGCTACAGTCAGGAGATGGGCCATATGAGGAATCCAGAAGGTAATACGATTCAATCAAGGCTGTTCTAATCTCTTGTAGCAGTTGTGGGTCAAGCACAGACAAATCCCTATTTCCTGCTCTTTCCACGTTTCTCTTGTTCCTGATGCCTATCGTGGTTATGGCACCGATGTGACCTCACTGTGACTGCAGAGAGAACCTGGATGCAGGCTCTTGGATGGCTGGAAGAACCGAGCCAGGAGACAGAATTAAATCCGATTTCTGCAGCAGTCGGGCATTTGAGCGGTGGCATTCATGCCTCCTTGTAATGCTAAGCCAGCAGGCAGACATGCTCTCCTCTGAAGAGCAGAGGCCTCTGAAGAGCAGCCCTGCTCATTGCTAGATTCAGGGCACTGCAGCAATCAAGCAAGGAGGTCATGAGTAGCATAGGCAAATTGCATTTGGGGCCAGGGCTGTCAAGATGTAGTGAGCGCAGCTTTGAGCTAGCTAAAGATGGAAGGTGCCTTTTATTTGGCCAGCAGCAGAGTCCGGAAGAGCAGTAAGCTTCAACATGGCCTTGACAGTCAGGAGAAGCATGGGAGCTTCACAGCCAGACCAGCTGCCTTTCCTCCAGGAAGCAAATGGGCTTTTTAAACATCTTCCATCCCTCCATCGCCCCCAACTCCCAAATTATACATTGGGTCACATTTTCTGTGTAACAGCCAGACTGGTCGAGTGTGAGGATCAAGCTCTTGAAGGGAAGCTCTCATGCAGTGACTCCAGGGTACAAAAAACCTCGCTGGCGATTTGTACAATGTTATTTTTATTTATTGGGTGCCTTCTTTCTCCATCCACTAATACCAGACCAATCCTGCATGCGGTGAGAGACATCCCTCTATCCTCCAGTGTGAAGGCAGATAAGTGTTTCAGTGCCACCCTAGGTAGGGAAATTTCAATGGAAGAGATGTCACTTGCAGCCTAATGCAGCCTTCTCACCTAAATCTAGTCCTTACTTGGCACTTGTACCATCCCCAACAGCTACAACTTGCCCAATGAGTGAGCAGGCTGTGTGCCAACTGAACAGATGGGCATGTGAGCCTAGGCAGACCGGGTGAGAGCATCAGCTATGCATGTGGAAGGCAGAACTCTAGGATGAGAGCATCGAAACGTCAGTCGTTCCGGCAACAGGAGCGGGAATCTCTGGTGAATGGGGCATTTAATTACTAATCAAGCTCCCAGTGATGTTAATTTAAAGGCGGGGGGGCGGGGTGAGGAATCTTTTGTGGCCATAAGCATACGCAGAAGAGTGCCGGGAGGGTGAAGGAGAAAAATCAATGGCAACGAATTCCCTGTTAGCTCTTTGCAAGCAATGCCCTGTCAAAAGGTCCCAGATGCAATTCCATGGCAGTTTTCTTTTGTGGCCTTCTGAGGCTGCCGTGTGCGGAGCAGGATGTAATAAGTTACAACGCAGAGAGTGCTGGTTCAACAGCTCTGGAGCCAAATCTTAATTGCAACAAGAACAAAAACAAGCACAAGTATAAATCACAGCGTAAGCAAAGACTCCTCTCTCGCCGTCAGCTGCACTGACTAGCTACGGAGTCAATAAAACCTTTCCTGAACCTGCTTTACAAAAACAAACCTCCGCACCACAGTCGCTGGCAGTTTAGCGCTCTCTTGTATTTTCACTCCCAGTAAGATGTGATGTGTTCTACACGTGCAGGAAAGAACAGGGGGAAGAAATCATCGACTGCTGAGTTAGCCCAGCTCTGCACCGCCACGCTTACTGCTACACCTTCAGTTGTTCAGGAGTGTGAAAAAACACACCCCTGTGCAATAAAAGTTTTGGCTCTGAAAAGTGCCAGTCTATACAGTGCTTTATCGCGGGGCGCAGCGCTCCCTGTGATAAACCTACTGCCCTCATCGGGGGGAGGGGGGGGGCGCGGGCGTAAAGAGTGACTACACTGCCCACGTCACAGCACTGCAGCAGAGGCAGTGCTGTGACGTAGGCAGTGCAGATATACCCCTACCCCAAATCCCCTGGAATTAGGAATCTCTTTTGGCTAATCTCTTTTGTCTTTTCCTTTCAGTATCGGATGCTTAAGGTAAAGTTGGAAAAATTGTGGAGAATTGGCTTTTATATTTTGGCTGAAAATAAAGTATCGTAATGGGTGTTCTAGCCCTGATGATGGTATTTTCCACTGCGAGGCTTTACAGTCCTGGGATGTGTCATGAGGACACTGTTAGGATCACCAGGATTCCAAGTTACGTTGGGCCAGAGTCTGATCCCTTTGCTCAGATTGAGTTGGACTTTCTCTCAGGCTAAATTTGAAGGAACTTTCTGCAGAGTAGGGGCTAGGGTACACTGAAAACTTACCTCAGCAGAGCTCTTTGAAGTAGGAATAAGATCCTCCGGAAAAGGGCGCTTTTTCCGGAGGATCGGGGCCAGTGTAGACGCTCTTTTCCGGCTTTTCTAAAAGCCGGAAAAAAGCGGCGGACATTTTTATTTAAATGCCACGGGGGATATTTAAATCTCCCGTGGATTTCCCTATTACGATCTCTGAAATTAACATGCCTCTTTCGGAAAAGGGGCCAATGTAGACATAGCCTCATTGATTCAGCACAGAGTGGGTGAAAATCACCACAGTAGCTTTTTATAATATTTTGTGGTAATGTAAGTGTGAGACAATGAAAAAACCGGGCTTTTTACATTTAATGAGCCTAGTGGTACAGAGTAAATCCAACCACCATATACAGGAAGGTTTCCAGAGTAAACAAACGAACTAGATAACCACATTTCTTAAAAAAAACCAGTGTCCTAGCCTTTCCTGTTTTGCATGTCTCCTTTCAAAC